TGAGATTATTGTGATTGTGCTTTCCATGAGATAGTGAAATGTTAATGCAGTACCTGTGGTTTATGGTAGCAGCAATGTATCACATTTGCTTTTATCTTTCTTTGGTTTGCACATGACATACAATTTGTGCGAGATAAAGAAAGATTTGGGTTTGAGCAAGTCTTTCGTGGTTCACAAATGGCACACGACCAAATTCTGAAGGGATGTGCACTGTGCACTGCAGGTCAGTAAATGTGTTTGACCCAAAGAATAACTGCATCAGTGTGCTTTTAGGCATAAAGACTGTGCTTCCTCTCTTGTGGCAGTTCTACACAAAATGAAGTCTTGCTAACCCTGACTTACACCATCGTGGCTGGACAAAGGGTGCAAGCAAACTTGACAAAACATCAGCTGAAAGTCTCCTCAAGGCCAAACTCTGAAATAATACAGTGTACTTCATGTCCACAGTCATTAGAAATTGTGACAGACTCAACAGTATTCCTGATCATTATTCGTTTTCACAGTTGTCACATCTGTTCTGTTATCAGATTCGCCTTAACAAAAAGGCCAGCTAGAAAATAAATGTGTAAAGAAGGTGGGAGAGCTATGGATTTCTTTAAACCATTTGTGTTCCAGTTCCTGTAATGAATCTCTTCCTAGTCTTTGCCTCTGGCTGAGAATAGTAATATGCCATTAACCCAGGAGATTTAAAACGTGCAGTGCTGTGCTTGGAAGGGTGTCAGAAATTCCTGCCTTAAGGATGAGAGGGTGTTTGATTCCTTTTTCAGTTGTTGGATAGCCTAACCCTAGTAAGCATTTTAGCAAAAGGGAACTACTAAAGTAGTTGTGAAGCCTGATGTTTTTTCACAATTAGCAGATTGCAAAGAGGGGCTGGTAACACAGATGTATCCAGGCAGGTACAGCAGCTGTTACACTTGAAGTGCTATCTCACACATTACAACCTGCTGGACATGGAAGCCTATTTTTAGTAAAAGAATAAATAAGCTGGCTGTGCCCTACTTTTTGTCAAAATGTGTCATGGGATCTTTGTATTTGATTAGAAAAGTCAGTAGAAATTACACAAGGGAACTCAGTGCCTTGTCCAAAAACTGGCAATTCTAACAATCCAGTGCTGCCTTTTATTACAAAAGTATGTTAATATTGGTTATGAGTTCAGACCCAAAGTGGGGACAGGGGATAATAGCTGGTGGGAGACTTGCCTGTGTGGGGTGGGAGGTTAAATGTGGACACAAGTCCTGTTATATTAGGCACTAGCTATTCAAGATGCTTTTGGATGAAAGCATTTGTTTTGCATTGATGGAACTATTTTTGCAAAGTCTGTATTAGGAAACTGGAAAAATGAAAGATATGTATATCTTGTACGAGTTGCTTGTACGTAAAGAGAATGTAGCAGGAAAGTCAGTTGGCCACTTCAGGATGCTGTTGATTGTTGTAAAGACCTCACTCTTACTAATTCTGAGCAGTTTTTTTGTCTTCACTGGCTGATATAAGATGGTTGTGCACATACCTCATGAGCAAGCTGTCTTGTAAAGTGTGACCATACCCAGAAACCAGAACAGACGTGGAAAAATACACATTGGCTATAATAGAGAATTAGTGAAAAGTAAGTACTTTCAATCAGTTTCTCTACAGATAAGGGATATTAAAAATTTGCTGCTTTATTACAATAGAATTGGCATAAGCTGATCAAAATGCCACCATTTAAAAGTGCCTGCCTAAGAGCTCCTGACCACGGAGTTACTGTATTTGGAGGCAATATGGTGATGTACCTTTTGAGTGTGGGTTTACAGGGTAGGCCAGGGGGATTCAGCTCCCAACTCTTAATGGCACACTTGCAGCCTCAGTGCAGAAGGACTCTCCTTTCTGATTCCCCAGTCCACAACCCGAATTTAGGGAGCTCAAGAGAAGCAGTCATGCTCTGTGGGATCCCTAGCAAAGCTGGTGCTCCAGAAGGAGAGCTTTGGTGGGGTAAGGCCTCTCTCCAGCTTGGACCTGCTGCTGTACACCAGCTCACACAGCTTGCCTGGGCGTGGAAAAAGGGAAGGAGCTGAGCCCACTCATTCACAGCAGGGCTGAGTCTGCCCTGGTGGGTGCATCAGCTGATGTGCTGGTACTTGTGGTGTGTTACAGCGGCCAGGGAGGTCAGGGAGGTTGAGGAAGAGGCCCTCTATTTCAAGTGGCCGTATGTCGTTTCAGTAAGACTTAAATTTTTAAATGAGAGGCCTCAGACATGGAATTCAGTAGGTGGAACAGAGCAGTGAAGTGTCAGGATGGTGACTGTTTGGGTATGAGTGCTGCTGGCTCTTTGAGGGACTGCTGCAGATAACAGGGGGCTTTGCCTCTCTGGCTCCCATACCTACACTGTAAGTTCTCAAAACTTTTCTACTGAATTTTACTCAAATAACTTGGTTTAGCAAAGCACTGTTAAAAGCTCTTGTTCTTGCTGCAGGCTGTTGCTTCATTAGCCAAACTCAGCATTCGTTTTGTCTGACATCTGCATTTGCAGCCTAGTCCTGAATGTCACTCAGCCCATTATTTGCTGCTGCCTCCCCCTTCCCCACAGTCAGTGTGAGACACAAAGGGAAGCTTATGATAGACACACATGCTGGTGCAAGCACTGGAACAGAGACCAACCTGCAGTACAGAGCACCTCTGAGGGAACGTTATGCTTCCAAAATTGAGCTGGTGTGTTACACAGGGTTCTTCACCGTGCTATTAGCACTTACCGGGCACCCTGAGGCACCCTCATGGCAATGGCCAGCTTGGATTTCACAGAATGGTCTGTCAAATAACTGTAGAGATGGGGAAGGTCCAGGCCAGCAGGCCAGTTTTTATTTAGTAGCTGAGGCTGTTACAGGACCATGCTATCCACGTACCTTATCTTCTGTCACATCATTTATATGTGCTGCATTACTTTAACCTGGGGCATGATATCATGTACTGGGAATCTCTTAGTATTTCCCTTTTAGGAGATTATATATAGACTTTGACAGTTAAACCTGATTCTTGTGATTTATTTTCCTAAACACGTGGCTTGAAATAGTCACACCAAAATTATTCACTTGTTTATTAACACCTCTTAAATTTCAATGGCTAATGATTTTATCTTCCAAATGGTAACAAGCTGCTACCTTAGGCAACAGGGGACATATTTTTCCTGGTGTAGATGAAGGAGGGACTTCAAAGGGGACATGAAAGTTTTGTTAATAAGCTATTTTTTGAATGCTATAATCCAGACTGGCTTTCCTCTAGTGACTACTGAGGAGACTGACATGTTATTTGTCATACACAAGATATTCTAAAGCCTTTTATTGTGATAACTACTGTCAGCAAGCTGACAAAGGGATGACCGTGCAGTGTCTACTATTGCTCACATAGTAGCATAACCTTTTGAACATAACCTTTTTTTTTTTTTTTTGAAGAAAAGTAGTACTGATGAAAGATTCTCATGTTGTTCTGTATTCACCACCAAACATTCCTGTGCATTGACTACCCAAAGCTGATTTGGTTTGTAGATGTTGCCATTGTGTCACAGTATCAGACAGTAACAAGTTGCTATGAGTATTTAAGTTTTGTAATGAATGATTTCTAAGCATCTCCTGCCCAGTATTTTGCTGTGTTCTGGATTGTTGTACTTTAGATTTAACAACTTGGGTATTTTTCAGATTGGCTTTTTCTTCCTTAGGCCAAACATCCGTAACATGGCATTTCCACTTGCATTTTCTTCCTCTGTCTGGGTCTGCTGACACGGTTCTCTGAAGTTTGCAGATACACAGACAGTTTAGTTCCTTTTTTTCTGATCACTGCAGTGACACAGGACTCAAATAATGCAAGCCCAGAACAGTGGAAATGACACATTTTCAAGTGACCAAGAATGTGCCCTAGGTGTACAACTGTTTCACATGCAAAGACATGACTCAGATACAGCCTTTTTTTAGACAAAACCCCTTTGTTATATTGAGAACACATGTAACAATAGCCTGGGGGGTGAGAATAATAGAACGTTTGTTGTTTTGTGAAGGGGGGTGGGAAGGGAATCTAAAGATAAGGAAATTGAAAATTAAAATTATATGTAAAGTCTGGGGTTTTTTCGCTGCCACATAGGGTATAAAAACATTTCTTTAAGAAGTTTCAAGACAAGTTCCTTATCCTTATTGCACACACTTTCCATGACAACTCCATGTGTGACAATAACATAAATATCATTCAAGTCGATCAACTATAATCTGAAAAATGTTAATAATGACTGATTGAGATCTCTTTATTCCCCCTGCTAAATACTGATATTGTATTCAGAGGTGTTAAAACAGAAAATAGAAAGGAAATTTGAAATCGGGGATTACAACCCTACAGAAAAGCTCTATGTGGGCAGGTTTCATTGCAATCTATTCACAGATATAGCAGAAGTTGTCTATACAAGGCAATTTTTAAGTACGTGGAACTTTATGGATGACAGACACTTCAAGGCATCATTATTCAGTTGAAAAGATGGTAGTACAGTAAACAGATTTTTAAGCTTCTGGATTGTAACCTTCTTCTTACTCTAGTAAATCACTCACAACACTTTGCAAAGACTGCTCTGGATCCTGTAGAACAACTACCTAATGTCACAAGATCCAGAATAAATAGCTCTTTTCTGAAGAAACATTATCCAGCCTTTCCAGGCACAAACCCATTTGTTATCAGTGAGGCCAACTAGCGAGCCAAGGTTTCAATATCGAAGCCAAGACTATCTGGAATATTTAATGTCAGAACCACAACTATTAGAATGATTTGAAAAGTTGCATATCTGGGACTTTTCCACTACTGTACTTCATTAACACCTTATTTTTCAGAAATATATTTCAGTAGCGATGTAAACTTTAAACAAAAGAGACAAGTGGCTCAATATGCTGAACTAAACTTCATTGTGGACATGATCCATTTGTGTGAGTTGTATGTTTGCCCTGATAAACCAGTTTCATTTGAAATCTGTTGGCTTTCTTTTTCCAGGAAAAAGGAAAGTCAAGTGAAGTTACCACACTCTGTGGTGTGAAGAAGCAACATGATGTTCAGGAACAATGAGCGGCCTTAAAGGAACTGGAAAGGAACTGCTTTTAGCAGGAAGGGGAACTGTTAATTGATACAACAGAGAGGCTGTGAAGGCGACTGACACATGGTAGGCAAGATTTCTCATTAACTTCTGCCCTTCCACTGAGATTTGCCAGGATGTAGCACTGTACGCTCACCATTCATGCAAAATTCCCATTTGCTGAAGTAATGGGGAGATTATTGTCCTTCCCATAGATTTCTAGTTAATCTGTGTTGTAGTTGGTTGGTTAGTTTGGAACAAACAACTAAACATCCCCTAGATATTTTCTAATCTAAATTTAATGGATTTTTAGTGCCTTGAGAATCAGTAAGTGAAGTTGATGAGGAAGTAAATCCATCCATCTATTTTCAAAACTGGAATAACTGGAAAAATGAACAGACTAAAATAGACCAGACTAATGATATAGCATGATTACTAGCATAGGGATGTTAAGATATGCATAATATGATCATACTCTTTGTGGACAAGAATGTGCCATGCCTCGCCCTGTGTTCTTTAAAGGCAGCAGGAATGTTGCTGCTGATTTCAGTGGGTGGGGACGGCCGCTGCATGCAAAAGTTGTTTCATTACCGGTTACATTGTACCTTGCTTTTCTTTACTGCTTCTTTTAAGCCTTTGACAAACACCTCCTTTTAAACGTTCTAGTTTCCATGCAATTATTCTTAACACCAAGACTCTTGAAATGAGGATGTATCACAGAAATCATTGGCAGGGCAGTAAGCTGTTATAATGAAGTCTTCCCTGCTGATTTCCAAAAGGGAAAGCTGGTCACGGATGAGCCCTTTCCTGCGTGCCCGTGGGTGGCTGCCCCTGTCCTCCGTCTGAGGGCTGTGCGGGGTGTGCGGCAGCAGCTTTGCGGGGCGCTACGGGTGCTAAACGCGGCCGGGGAGCGCCAGGCGAGCGGGGGCAGTGGGACTGCGCGGCGGCCCGGGCTGAGAGCGCTCGGGGGGACCTCGCCAGCGGCCCCGCGGCCCGGCGGGAGCGGGCGGACAGGCGACCCCCCCTTCGCCGGCAGCCCCGCAGCCCGGCCGGAGGCGCGGCCAACGCCGTCCCTGCCGGGGAAGGGGAGCGCCCGCAGGGGCGGGACGCGCCGCGCCATTGGCCGCCGCCCGCGGTCTGATAGCGAAAGGCCGGCCCGGGTTGGCGGCGCCGGGCCGAGGGCGAAGCCATCGCCTTGGTAACCCCGGCGGGGCGCAGCGGCCGGTGCCGGCCGAGGGAGCGCTCCCCGCTGGCGCCAGCGCCGCCGCGCTGGCTGGGCTGGGGCGGCGCGGGACGGGACGGGGCACGGCGGGGCCGCGGCGCGGGCAGGTGAGTGTTCGAGGCGAGCGTTCGAGGCGAGCGCCGCGCTGTGCGGGCAGGTGGGAGTGCGGGGCGAGCGCTGTGCTGTGCGGGCAGGTGGGAGTGCGGGGCGAGCACTGCGCTGTGCCGCGGGTGCGCACCGGGGACACGGAGCGGGACGTGCGGCCGGTGCGGACTGCGCCGGGGCTTACCCTCGGCCGCCACCGCCGGCTCCTGCCGGTGCCTGCCCGCCCCGCTCCGCAGGAAGAGGCGCTGCTCCAGTTGCGACACGGCGGTTGCTCAACCGCGCGGGGGAAGGTTTCGGCGGGACGCGGCCGTTTGGCAGCGGAAAGGGGCCCGGGCCGGGCGGCGGCTCGGCTCGGCTCGGCTCGGCTCGGCTCGGCTCGGCGGGCGCCTTTGTGCGCGGCCCTGAGCGACCGCGGCGGGAACGGCCCCGCAACAAGTGCCCATCGCGCCCCGGCCCGTCCACTCTGTGCTGAGCCGGGCCGGGGCCGCGGCTCCGGCGGCATCGGAGCCCCCGCTGCGACCCGGGGACCCCTCCCGGTGTGGAGCAGCGCTGGAAGCCCGTGTGCCCTCCGCTGCCCCGGGGCTCGGCGGTGCTCCGACAGGCTCGGCCGTCCCTGGGTGTGCGGCGCTTGCTCCCCCCAGACCGTTCCCGGACGAGCTTTGCGCTCTGCCTGCTGGTTTTTTTTCAATGTTTGTATTTTTTTTTTTTTTCCTCCAGCTGAGAACTCTCTGTGATTGCTCAGTGAATTTTAAGTGGCGTTTAGGTTACTCGATGGTCCTGGTTGTTTTCAGCCGGGTTTCTGAGCGTTGTTTTCCTTCCGAACCGCAGGAATTTGTATGGCAAAGCAGTATTTCGGAAATGTGTTTCCAGTCAGATGCCCACGCTCTGTGCAGCCCAGCGCGGGCAGCGCACTGAACGGTACTTTGGCAGCGTACAGGCATCCTGTACTCTCTTAACAGACATCTAAACTATTCCGCAGACGGGGGAGCTCTTTCTGTGAAAGGGGGGAATAAATCTTCATTAGTCCCAAAGAGTTCCTGAAAGAGAAACGGAAACCTCTCATGCCAGATTCGCTGGTTGTCTAGCTCCAACACGTGTGTGCTTAGACTCCTTGGATACCTCCCAAACTCCAGAAAGCTTAGTTTTTATTGGGGTTTTTGGGGTTTTGTTTTGGTTTTTTGTTTGTTTGTTTGTTTTTTTCCCAGGACTTTATGCATCGACAGTCTTTTCTTGTATGTATTCTTCTCAGTAGATACACTGATGAGGGTTTTTTTCATTTGGAATTGATAACTGTAGCCATAACTATAAATGTTACATACTCTAAGTTCATACTGCTGTTCTTCTGTTGATACTGAACTTTATTTGGGCTTAAGTTACTGAAGACAGGCATTACTAGAAACCCCAGCAACACATTATTTATGTTTTCATGACTGTAATTTAGGATTTGAAGTTAGATGAACACATGAAGGATGTCATTGAAATTTGATTGGCTTGTGGTTTGCAGTATTAGCTAGAGATTCCCACAGCTGTATGTCTTCAAAAATTAATTAAAAGATGAAATAAAACTTTATAACATGCTTGCTTTTAGGAGAATTGCATATAAAGGAATATTGAATATCCATCCATATGCTTGGCAAAGGGTTGTGAAGTCTAGTGGAATGCATTCAGGTGGCTGGGGAAGCAATCACCAGGTCACTTGGAAACTTTGATCCAGAAGCTTCAGTTCAGACTGATGGTGGTTTTTCAGGCTTTGGAAGTTTCATTCCAGCAAGCAGTGCTTTTCAAAAGAGTGGGAAATCAGAAAAGGATTACTGAACTAAAATTTGTGGGTAACTGTTTTATTGGCCCTTTTTAGAGTGTCACGGATATTGGTAACATCAAGAATGTTTTGGTGTGGATTGACTTGGAAACATGCTAGGGTGGGGTTTTTAACATTGATTAAATGTTTTTTGCATGGTCTTAAAATATATTTGTTGATTGTCTATTTAAATATCTGTTATTCTTGAGTAAAAATCACTTCTATTAAGTCAGGTTTCACTTCCCTGGAATATCTGATGTCATAAATTCTCTAGTTCTCCAATTGTCTATGGACTTTTGGCAGAACTCCAATTTCTGGTGTAGGAAAGCCTTCTTAAAAAAAAATAAAAAACTTTTCTTTGGTTTTTGTGATGTAGTAAAGACAGAATATGTCCTACTCCACTGCTCCTTTCGCTTTAATAAAGTTTGCATATGTCTGCAATATGCTCTCTTTTGCAAGTAATTTAAAACCAAAGTCCAGTAAAAATACAAGCTGCTAGATTACTATATATACACGAGGAGGGTGCAGGAGAAAATACCGTTGTTGTTTAGAATTTGGGTGGAAATGCAGGCTGGTGTTTTGGCTGGTTAGCTAGAAAGCTGGTATTGTGTTTCAGTGACCAGAGGCACAGAGTTCAAGTTGCTTCAGTGCTTTTTCACAGACTAGAGACACACATGGAAGTTTTGCCCTTGGTTCTTTGAAAGTTGTCACCAGTTATCTCAAAATAAATAACGGGGGTTGCTGGATTGTGAATGTGGCATTGTATTTATTCAAAGTCCATGGGGCTGCTCTGGTTCGAGGTGGGCTTTCTGACTTGCCACTCTTGGGAGCAGCAGACCGTTAAGTTATGAAGTTTGCCCCTTTGCACAAGTGGCAGTTTCTGTGAAAACAATCCCTGAGAGAAGAGTCTGAAATGAGCATCATTTACACAGTTGCATAGAAAAACGTGCTTGTTTGTTTTGAGTTTTCTTTTTTTGGGTTATTTTTTGTAAATGTGTGTTTTTACTCAAACTGATACCCCTGGGCGAGGCACGTGGTGTTACACACTACATCTCAAATCATTTGCCTGAGAATATGAGGACTTTGAATTGTGGAGGACTAGAATTCAGTGCTGGTGTCTGAGTGCGTGAAACAATGTGTTTTGTGGCAGTGCTGCTGGCCCTTCCAGTCACTCATTCTGCAGAAGTTTCACTGTTTCTTGCTTTGATAACTAAATCAGATCTGGGGGCAAAGATCATCTTATGTTAGAAATTGAAGTTTTTTTAAACTTTAATTAATTTTAGTAGTAACTTGTAAGCAAGCAGTTTTACTTTGGGTTGGTAAGGTGTACACCTATGGTCCAGAATGAACAGCAGGTAACCCAGTGGTGGTTCTTTGAAAAGTCAGAGTTGGAGATGCTGCAAGGTGAAGGTTACATGTATCTGTACGATTCTTGAAGTACCAGCTACTTTATAAGCAACATTGACCACTCTGTGTTACATTCTGTGTCAAATTAACGTGGGTAAATCTTTTTATCTCAACCCTTGGCAGAAATAAATTCAGGAATGTGGTTTCATTTACATACATTAAGAGTTGCAGAAGAGGCCCTGATGTGCAAATGCTTGTGGATTTCCAGCTGCCAAAATAATTGAATTTACATACTGGCTTCAGAAGATTAAAGAAACAAAGAGTGACACTGATGAGGCGAGAAAAGCTTCCTTTGAAGGGTGGGATTGGGGCAGTTCTGCTCCCCTACTGATAATTTGTGTGCACACTGTTACTTGGTTTGGCTTTGCCAGTTTTAGGCAGCCTAAGTGTAATTGCTACCGTGCTGCAGAAACAGCCTTTCAGAAAACCGGTTGTGCACAAATAGAGGATCTGGGCTGTCCTCGGGTACCTTCTTTGTTACTTCCACTTCACAGCTTTGACTGTTACCTGGGGGGCAGGTGGGGGCTTTTCAGTTGCATTAAAAAGGAGGAAGGC